TGTTAGTATGGATAAGCAAAAGAGAGCATGGGAAGATTGCCCCACCTCCCTGCAAGGCAAAAGCCAGGATATCAAAACATCAACTGGTTACATGGCATTGCCCTTAAACACTAAAAATGAACACATGCAAAATCAGAAAACAAGAGAATAGGGTTAACATCTACCCTAACGCAGAGACAGGGAATATCAATAAAGAAGGGGAAAATAAAACAAACAAAACAACAACAACTGGGGAGCTGTTTACCAAGATAAATGCATGAAGCAGTTTAGGATCCTAGGAGCTTCCCAAGGTGTTAAACGGGAGATGTTGACAGGTTGGCTGTAAATTAAACCAGGGAATCCCCATGAGTAATAAAAGGACTGAATAACAGACTTTGGGAAGCAGACTATCAACATTTGTTCACTAGTCTGAGGAAGAGAAGGATCTGCAATAGTGTAGCTCTGATACTGAAGATAACAGGTGAAAGTGGCTTTCCTGAGCAGTCAGTGTAAGATTCTGCCCACAGCTTCTTTCGGATCAGGTTTCCAGATTTTGCAGATGTTTTTATCCTCTCAGCACCAGGATTTTACTCCCTTTTACTCTCTTCAGTCTGATCTCAGGAATTCCCACCAGAGATTCTCATTTTCATCAACTGCTTCCGCCACATTAATTCAGACTGAACTGTCTGAACAGTGCTGGCCAACTGCAAAGCATGTGAACGGGAGAAAAAGGGCCTGGTCTGAGCCACTATCGCTCTTCCAGAGTTATACCAGTCTGGTCATGTGTGTGAAAGGAGAGCAAAAGAGGTGCAGAAGCAATTTTGCTCCCACCCTGTCTTGCTGTAGGCTTAAAGAGTTTGTTGAATGGGGCATGCTTACTTTGTTTAGTAAACAAAAGGTGGAAATCTCTTTGGTCAACAAAAAAAAAAATGAAAAAAAAAAACCAAAACAATTTATTTCCCTTCAGATATCAGTAATACAATCATTGGACCTATTTATCACGATGATTAACAAGACTGCTGGAGTAACACGTTCAGTAAATTTCAGTTAAAACTGTTCTGCAGTGAGCTGTCAAGCTAATTATTGATCAGTAAGCATCTAAAACTATGGTGGAAATTGTGTGTCATGATGGAATTGGCACCTCTCCTTTTCCAGCTTTGCTTGCCTGCCCCAGTACATGCAACTCTCTAGAGTCAGTGTTTCTGTGTTTCAAATTTTGGTACCACAAGACAGAAGAGGAAAAAGTTTTGCTTCGAGTAGCTTCCCTCTCTACCTGGCTTTCCTTCTAACTTAAATGAGAAAGGAAAAGAAAAACAATTTCCACTGCCCAATATACAGTAACTTCAGATCTAGAGATGTGCTACAAATTCCCAGTGGCTGGGTTCAGGCAGGTCATAAATAAAACTGCAGAGCCAACTCAAGATGCTCTTGGGTATAACTTACAGTGAAAAACTCTGGTGCTGCATGCAGAAAGCATGGCTCAGCCATTCATTTATAACAATAGAACTATTCTTCTGTCTGCACCAGGAAAAAACAAATCTCCTGTTGTTAGGAATCAAAGTCAAGTCCTTCAGTCTCTGGGAGATATATTTAACAATGACTAAGCATGCTACTTCATAAGGTTCACTGCTTACAACTTTCTATCTCTCATTATATAGTACTTCTGTATGTGAAGGTAGTGAATTCCAAAAAGCAAGTCTGTTGACCTCTATCCGCAACAAAAGCACTTTAAAAGGCGTGACGTGGAACAAAGTATGCAAAATTGATCCCTCAGATATTGACTGAATAGATTATTCAGTGCTTCCAGAAGCCTCTCACATTATGTGGAGTCAGCAGGAATCAGGTGCAGATAAAAACAATTACAGACACACATAAATACATATCTTGCATAAACCACTTCATTTATGGCTGTCTTTCTTATTCCCATGAAACTCACTGCAGTTTGGGTTCTGAGTTCTCCAGCTTCAAATGCTATATTTAAATTCTACTTAATGAATTAGATATGCTTTAGAGCTATAATAAACTTCTCCTGTGAAGATATCTCTGAAGCATTCAGTCACATTGCTTACTCAGAATAAATACTGCAATAATATATTTACATAAATAATTTAAAATCCAAGAGCACAGTAGGTAATAAAAATACATTGCCATGATAAGCCATGAAACCAGAGAAGAATGTTGATTTAATTAAAAATTATAAATAAGCCACAGTAAACAACTTATTTACACATAGTTAAAAGCCTAACTACTGAATATCATGGACTTCTTGAATCCAAAAAAGGAAAAAATACTTAAATCAACCTCTCCTCACAGACAAAATATTGAGGACCATAACTGTGTTTAATTAAGATCTACTGTTAATACTGGATTTCAGAGAATAAGGCTCTTCTTTTAATTTCCCAAGGTGGAAAATGTTATTAAATTTGGCCTTTAACTTCTCATTGACACGTACACTTGAAACTTCTGATTAAAATTTCAGAGGTTGGGAAGAGGCAGCCAAAATTAAACTATTAAATCTGGCACAAAAATAACAATGATCCCTGATTAAGAAATCAAATTTCAGAAACTTCATTACTGTTCTATTAATAAATTGTTGGGTTATAATTAAAATGGGGCCTGCTGGATTTCCTTCTTTTTTTTTTTTTTCCTTAATTCTAGAAAAGTTGGAAACAAGAGGGAATTAAACACTTCAAAAAATAGGTTAATGAATCTAAGAAACGTGATCCAAGTTGAGCAAATTCCTTTTCTTTCTGGCAGTGATCACAGAGGAACAAATGTTATTTCCCACCCAAATGTAAATCCCCTGCTTCTATCTGATTCTTCCTTTCTTCAATATCCACAATCTAAAACTCACTGTGGTCGTTGCAGCCTTTTCAGAGGAACTCACAGCTCTGGCTATAGTCACAAAAGTCAGCGTTAACCCAGTTTTAAACAGGTAGAATTTAGAGCGATATTAAACTTGATGCCTACATGATATGGCTGGTCAATATGAGCGCGTGGTTCTTGTTTCCAGGATGATGCTTCTAACTTGAGTATCTTTGAAACGCTAACATCAGTACATTAAAGAGTTGACACTATGAAAATTCACTGCTAATTGTGTACAAAACAGGTAGCACATTGTGTGCTTTTGAGCCTTGGAGTCATATTTTCTTCACTAGAATATATTTTTGCCAGCTTGTCTGAGTTTCTAAATGAAATTCTTTCTCAGACTGCAAAAACACATTAAGCTAAAAAGTGAGAAAGAAAATTGCTTCGGAAGTACAGCTGTCCTTAGGAATTTCTCAAAGATATAAACAATTCGAATTGATTCAAACATGGGAAGCTCAAGACATAAATTCAACCTACAAGTGGACATTGGCACCAAAGGTTTCAATACGCTATCGATGGTTCTTGAAACGCATTTATGATATTGTATTACTAGAGTAACCAAATCTGCTGATGACAAATAGACATCATCCCCTTTTACAAATCTTACATAGAAAACTAACAAGAACTGATGTTGCAATTAGACCTCAGTGTATATAGGCTGAAAATAATGAAAAGTAAAATTATCAGTCCTCTATTGTTCTTTTGTTTGTATCCATCTGCACATTTTGAACAGATACATACTTTGTTGGCAGTGATGGACATTGCCCACACAGCACACACAATCAAAATCTGATATTCAACTGCCTCTTGTAGACACCCAACATTGCTTGCTCATGGTCATTGATATTTAGTGTAATATCTTGTTTAAAACTCTGCATTTTGTCTGCTAGGCCTTTATTTTACCACTGTAATCACAGTACGGACACTGATGATATAACAGCAGATTCTGAGAACTGTTTGGTTTGGTATGCAACCTCTGTAAATCTGGACCAAGGCCCACTCTAAACACAACATCTACTCATAGGAACTTGAAGATAAAACCTTTCTTTAGATCCAAACTAGTAAGCACATTTGGCCTTTATACATACAATTTCACACTGCTCTAACTGCAGATGCCGTTCCTGTATACTGCAGTCTTACTCTGTCACTGCTGGTAGCTTTGTGATTCAATAATACCAGCATAATTAAAGAATGCTGTTTTAAACTTTTTTGTTATTTTAGCAAAAGAAGGGCATACAGGTAAGTCAAACTAACTTTGCTGAGTAATTCCATTGTTTCCCAGATTTCCATTATATTTGCATTATTTTCTAACTTATATAATCATAGATTGGAAAAGACCTCTAAGAGAGACACTTCCTTTAAAATAGTGTCCATATATGATCACGCTTCAATCCTAACCCAAAATAGCTTGTTTCTGTTCTTTTCTGCACGTGAAGAATAAGAAACAAAATCTTGCTTTTGGTCAAAAACATCCCAGGTTCTAGCTACGCAGGTATAAAAACCTTCTGTGAAACTTCTTTGTAGTTCATGAACTGATAATAGTCAAGATTTGAGAGTGCCTTCGTGAAGCACGCTGGATTGCAAAAAGCACTGATGTTACACAGCTGGTCATCACAATACATAAAGCTAAGTTTTCAGTGACTTGATGGCATTTCCTACAATTTCAGAGCCAATGCACTTAGAAGAAATCCAACAAGGTCAAGGGGGGAAATTTAGATAATAATGTCCCGTTGATTTTAATAACCAAATCTACCTATCTTCTTTACTTTTCTCTTAAATTATTCCAAAATCAATTGTTAACAATAACCGATATGATTCCACTGATCTTTCATGGCAATTTGTAAACATACGGAGAACTTCAATAATTGTTTCTTAAACTTAGCCCAAATCCCAAAAGGGCATCAGTATCTTCCCCCTGCTCTGAATAATACTGCTGAGAGTCATATTGCTGTATCTGACTGTTGTTCCCTGTCTAATGCAGTACTTCTTAGTGTATTCAAACTGTATTTCTTCAATGCAAGAAAAAAAAAAAAAACCTCTTCAATTTATTATCTACATCCCAAACAACTTTAATTTTCTATTTGCAGACAAATTTTTGGTCATTAGAAAAAGACAAGTTTGGATGGATGACAATTAAAGAGTAGTGCACTCACCTGATAGTCTGATGCTGCAAAGTATCTGGATCAGTGGCATTTACTGTTAACACAATGCTGCCAATAGGGATGTTCTCTTGTTTTGTCACTGTCATCGGGTTTGGGTGGAAAACAGGGCCTTCATTCACATCCTCAACAGTGATCTGAACTGTTGCTGTGGAACTGGGGCCGTAGGCTATGTCTGGAATCAGTGGGTCTTCATTTTCTACTTTTATCAGCAACGTGTGAAAGGCTGAAATCTCATAGTCTAAAGGCTGTAAAACAAAGAGAGTACTTAGCACTCACCACTCATACCCCACACCTGGAAGCTTTCAGGAGACAAAATTAGCCAGAAAAGGACACAAGCATTTATTGCATCTGATATTTGGTCAGGAGTTTAGCATTAGACATCCCAATAATTATGAAGTGTGTCTTCACTGTATCAACACTGAAAAGCAAAAAACTGACCATGTCTAGAGGATAACACACATAGGTTGCTCCTAAAGTTTTCCTAATTCCTTGATTTCTTCACACTTATAGAGTTCATAGGAGTTTGGCTGTTATTTGTAAACAGCTCCACTTGAGTTTTACTACTGAGGAGCTGACCAGTCACAATTGATGAAAGATTTAGATGTTTCTCTATTTAAAATTGTATACACTTTTTCCATACCTCAAACATATAATTCCCACATATACATGCTTATTTATGATGTAGCATGCATTAATTGAACAGTACATCTTACTTAATGGCTATGTATGATAAATACCATCAGACCATTTTCTCAACTCCTACCTTGAAGCCAAAAGCACCGCCATGGAAAAATATTCAATTACTTTCAAGTATTGAAAATGTCTCTTCTGAAGTCAAACAAAGAAAACTCTGGTACAGGCAGCAACCAGGATTTCTATTTTTCGATTATTTTTTCAAGCATTTAAAATAAGATTGTCTTCATACAAAGCTAATGTTTTTGGGTTTTCTTTCATAATATTTCATAAATGTGGGACCAGAGGGAACCCTCCAGTTCAGCCTGAAGCCATGTCCTTTACTTCCCTGGCATCTGCAGCACACATGCTTTACCAGAACAAAATGTGGCACTTGAATTCTCATTGTACCCTCAGTCCCCAAAAAACTGCATTGTAAACTCTTACTATTAATGAATTGTGATGGTTACCACAAAAGTAGCTGTTATTTAATCACAAGGACGGTATAGTTAGGACAGTATAGCAGCAGGCAGGTTATTATCACTAAAGAAGCAAGATAACTGTAACAAAAGAGCAGTTATACATATTGGCTGAAGGAAATAAGGGCTGATGGCTAACTGTACTTTTAAGAAACTTATCCTTGCCGCGCCTTCTCCCATGCAGTAAATCCAGGGGATGAAACTTAACAGTAATAATGCAGTACAGTAGCAAATTATCCTTACTTTGACAACAGAGAGCATTCCCTCATTAGTCTGGGGATTGGTATGGATTTCAAAACTCTGTCCTGGATTTCCATTAATAATAGTGTAGACAGCTCTCCATGCTCCAGTTGCTGGGTCATCTCGGTCACCAACAGTTAAGTTAACTATTACACCTGTGACTCCTTCCTTTACTGTGGCCTGAAACTACAAAGATTAAAAAAAAAAAAAAAAAAGAAAGAAAAAAAAACACACAGAGGAAATTGTTAATATTTTCAATTATTGACCACACTCACACACTGTATACAAGCCAGCATTAACTATTTATCACAACATGAGAAAAATGTTGACTGAAACTGAGCATTATAGGCACTATATAATACATGATCACCCATGAAATATAAGGTAGCACGTTATTGCTCTGCATTCAGTGGATAACAGATAAACAGCAGTGTGACAGGAATCAGGGAGATTCTGGCTATAGAAAGACTGTTCTACTCATATTGCTGGAAAAGAGAATCCTGAAAACAGATGCAGTGTTGCATAGGTGCAGGTGCTACCAGAAGGGGAACTCCACTCAAAACTAAGCAGAAGAGGCAGCTGACTAAATAGCTCATTCTTGCCCTCCAATATAATCCTGTCTTGAGTTTCAGATGATTATTTTTATATCATCGTTTTTATTTTTTTCACTATACCATTATCAATACATGAAACATTTGTCACCAAAAGTGTTCCAGTACCACCCTGGAGCTGGGGAGTGTTGCTCTAAAATTTATAGTTGGATCTCCTGCTATTCCTTTGTCTGAATAACTCTAAGGTGATGTTTCTCCTTTCAGTAGAAGAGTTTTTTATGACCTTGTGTAGTTTGTTGTACTACCAACAACCAAGCCCTATGCAATTCTCTCTAATTTGCTTTCCAGTCAAACAGTGTGTAACATCATTGTTATTTAAGCAGCAAAAACATTAAGTGAACCATCTGAAAAGCTTGCAAGGGTCAGAGTTAATAACACTCCTCACCTTTCAAGTACTTTCAGCTGACATGCTAAAAGGGCTGTATGCAACAGAGATAAGATAATACCTGCTATATAGGTGGATAAACTGGACTGATAACATACATAATCCTCAGAAGTGCTGAACATCAGCAATACCATTATAGATCATAAGGAAATCTTAGCATTTCTGGGGATTAAGCCTTCAAAAGTCAAAAATTACAAACTTTAATGACAGGAATAGGTTTTGCCATCCCTGCTCACTGTCAGTGACAATGTTTGATATGTCACTCAAGAGCAAAAATCACCAAAATGACTTCATTACATCTGTCTTACAGACCATATCAAGTCAGAACACTACAGATTTTCTGAGAATGCAGAACCTAAAAGATGGCATTTTATTAACATGTAGGCTTCAAAATCTGGAAAATAGTAGGTAAAATGTATTTCCTCATAGTAAAATAGAGGACACGACGACTCATTTTACTGTGTTCAGTTATCTATTTTTGGTTTCTTCCAACAAATTTGACTTATACTGCCAATCCTTTTTTCAACATAATGATGTAATTTGAGTGCATGTATTCAATTCAAGCTTTCCAGCCTCAAATTTGATGTTATAATAGGATGACATTAATGACTGGCCATTTCTATCTTCTTTGGTGCATTTAACAAAGAATTGAAAGACTCTTTTGATTTTGATAGTTAATATGTAACAGGTTGTGATTGAGCTTTGTTTTGGAGAGATCATTAAGTTCATTTGCAGTTTAATTAACTTTAAATGATAATATAACAAAACAATATTTTCACTTGCTTTGAAGTGAATCAAAAGAAGTCTCTATTAAGAACCTTAGAAATAACAGAGGAATGATTACCAAGATTGGTAAAGATTGGTAAGCTCAGCAAAAATGCAGTCACTGGAAAGCACATTTGGATATATCTAACTCTAATTGAAAATAAGTGATTGGTCTGATCTTTCTGTATTATTTCCTTTTGTCTCAGCTTGAGCACGTATTAAACGACACCAGTCAGAATTTTTCCAAATGACTGTCCAATACCAAGCAATTCCTATTTCGCTATGTAAAATGGTGACTAGATTTCAAGGGTGCTAATCCTCAAGAATCTTAGATCTGACAGGGCAGCCTCTCCTAAGCCTTACTGACCCTCTAGTCCTGTCCTTAGAACACTAGTCTGATACAATGCAGTGTTCAGTACTCTCTGGATCACAATGGGAATAGTTAGACGTGTTTGGGTGAAATAATTTTAAATCTGCCTGTTTTATTTAGATGCATAATTGAGAAGGCAGAGAGATATATTTTATGTGTTTACCCCACCAGTGCAAGACTATGATGGAAAAGGTTTCCTCAGTGTGCCACCTAGCTCAAAAAACACTTAATGTCATTCTAGGAGTGTCTAACTCAAAGATATCTCAGCTGATATTGGCTCTCTTCTGCACTCATTTTCTTTTTTTTTCCAGGAAGAGCTCTCAGTAGCTTCAGTTGCGGTGCATTAGCAATTCAGAAAGGACACACAGAGTTGCTGGGGGCATAAAACTGCAGAGATTCTGACACCTGCATATCAAGGAACTGACAATATCTATAGGCAGAGGCTGTGCCCAGATGGGTAATTCCAAGTATAGTGGTATGATCAGCCCTAGCGTTCTCTGCATTTTAGAAATGACCACACAAGCACAAGGGGTATTTGAAGCTGTCTGGAATTTAGACTAAAATCTGTTCAAGATGGATGAAAAAGGAGAATGATCAAATCACAGAAGTTATCACATGGGTCTATAGAAGGCAAAAACTGTAATAAATCACAGATAGTGATTCCAAAAGCTAAATATCTACAGTGAAACAGAAAGGGACAGAAAAATGAAGGGTATATTATCTTCAAGGTGAACTCCTTTGCCTGTTCTGACACCTTTTTATTAGAAAAAAATCTGCTTCCTGATATTCAGAAAAATCTGCTATATTTATATGAGCTCTCTTTCAAAAACAAAAGCCAAGAAGGAAAACTTAACGAAAAGACAAAAATAGGAATTAGATTTGCAGATAGGGAAAAGATAACTACAGGTTCATCATATTTCAAAATAAAAGCTTTATATTCTTAGTGCTAAACTGGGAGAGGATGATCCAGTGCTCTAAAATAAAACCCCATAGGGGCTAATACAAATAATTGGATCAAGAATTAATTGATTTTACTCTTTTTAAATATCCGCACATCCCCTAAGCACCACTATAAATTAGGAATAAAATAGATGAGTTCAGAACTTTATTTAAACTGCTATAATCTGGACCCACATTAATAATTTAGAAGGCCTTGAGATAGAGAAGCACTTGGCTGGAAGGAGCTACGTTCACTTACTACAACTATTTGAATATGTAAGGTTTACTTGCTTTGTAGAATGATATGCCATATTGTCATTTATTGTATTTATCAAAAATACAGTTGGGTAATTCTGGTCATTGTATTATATTTGGAGGTTTATAAACAATTGCTTTTCTGCAGTCAAAACAAAAAATAAAGACAGACAACAGACCAACAGCAATTTAGAAACAAGGAGCAATTAAGGGTAGGCTGAAATGGCCTGTGGTTTACCCTGAGTCATTAGATTTGGGTAAATAAACAAGACTTAACAGGTTGCTGAGATGCATAAAAAAAATCAAGGGATGGATGTGGATGAAGGGTGTGAGAGGGCTTGTGAGGAAGAGATTCTTTTGAGAATTAGCTATGTTTGCTGTCACAGAGAAGCTCAGGAAAGTGGACACCAACTACTGGACATTCTTATGAGGAAGCACAAAGACAGTTTCATGGAGGGTCCTAAGAGTGAAAACAAGCAGCACACATTTCTTACAACAGGAGAGTCAGTAAAGAGATGACAAGGTTTACAACACCTGTGTTAGGATATAACTCATTTAACTGTACCCAGGAGAGTCCCCAGCAAACCTCAGTTCAGCAGTTAGCCATGGCTTAATATCAGTATTTGTTTCCTGGTAGAGCCAGGATATGACCTAACGCTGAGTCAATTCCTTCTCCACGCTGAGCTCTATGTAGAAGTGGTGGGGCACTTAGAGACAGCTCTTACTGAACAGCAAGATGTCTCAGTATGGTCTTGAGAAAAACAAAACTTAGCAAATTTCCATCATGGAGGAGACACATGGAAAGATCATTTTGTAAAGTGTTATTGCCTGAGAAACTAGATATTAACCCTATTTCAGACTCAAAGAAAAGTGGAAATGCCTGTATGAAAATTGGATTCTTATCCAATAGCCTTATTTAAGGTTTTTATGTAATAAGTACAGTTCTCTTTACTACTTTCTCAGATCACAGAACAACAAATGCACTTAATTGCATCAGTATCACTTGAATGTCTGCTGTCAAGCAATGAGATGAGCATGTGGGTATAACCTTAATGCCTTTATGAGATCACTGAAAAACTTCTGCCTCAAAATGGGGTACTGATACAACCTAAATTAAAGAGCTGCCACAAGCAGAAACACAATGTGAGATAAACGTGTCTGGGATTGGTGATCACTACCCCATGGCTCATTAGGATTCTACATGCTGTGATTCCCAGTCAAGAACAACCAAATTAAAACTGCACGTCAGATTGCATTAGTCAGGGCAACGTTCTAGTTGAAGGTATTCTGAGTTATTATCATGTGCTTGTTTCCCCATCTATATATTACAAAAGATGAGAAATAATGGGATATATTAATTCACACAGCTCCATTAGAAACTCCCCAAAGAAGTTATATTATTGTATTTGTCCTTCTCCACTAAAGTCCACATCTTTTGCAAACATTTTTCTATCTACTTCCTTGAAAATACAAAGAAAAATTTATACAATCTTTTGCAGTCTGTCTCTACTCAGACATGTGCCTTTTATTTTGCACACTATCACTCAGCAGGCATGCACCTGAGTGGCAGATACATATTTGTTAAGGAAACAACATACGGGGGCTGCTCAAAATTAATGCCTCCTATTTTTATTATACTGGCCCAGAGGCGGATGTTGGTGGTATGGCAGTAGAGGCTGAACCTTCCCACCAGTATTCCATTCCATTTTGCTGCTGCATGACAGATGGCAACAGAGGGGCAGTATGATGGAATGGCATCTGACATGAAAGTGTAGATCAAGCAAAGCTAACTGAATTCTCCCACGTGGAAAAAAATGCACCCACTGACATCCCGTGACATTTGAGCACACAACAAAGTGAT